GAGGGGCGCGCGATGGGACAGGACTTGACACTGGGGACACACTGGGGGCTGGTGAAATAGAAAACACAGCGCCAGGGAACGGGTGGTGTTCCCGGGACAAGCCCTAGAGAGAACCAATCGTGAGAGGGGAGGGACCCGGGAAAGACCTGGGCGCGGCGGGGGCGGCGGGGGCCGGGTGTGGGAGGCCTGGGAAAAGGTCGATTGGGTCAGAGATCAGGGCCTGGGAGGGGGAACCGAGCGTAGAGGTTCAGAGGAGGTCTGGAAGTAGGAAACTGCCTGCAGGAAGGGGAAAAAATGGGAGCTGGGAATCAAGAGGAAGAGGGAGAAGCCTAGGATTGAGTGGGTCAGGGAGGCCAGGTAGGTGCCTGGAGGGAAGAAACAAGGTCTGAACTGATACCAGAACAGCCCCGTTGGGACCGTGCCTTGGGGGAGAGAGTGTGGAGACCCCCAAGACTGTGGTGGTTGTTAACGCAATGAAGGGAGAGGACGAGTCTGGGTGGAATTTATGGGTGTCCTGGAAGGGCAGTGGTGACCAGGTTCTTTGGGAAGCAACAATAAGAACTGTGCCTTTTAGCCGGGCTCGGTGGCTCAGCCTGTAATCCCGCGCCTTTGGGAGGCTGAGGTGAGTGGATCGCCTGAGCCCGCGGGTTCGAGACCCGCCTGGGCAGGCGAGACCTCATCTCTACAATAAATCAAAAAATTAGCCGGGCATGGTAGCACGTGCCTGTAGTTCCAGCTACTTGGAAGGCTGAGGCGGAAGGATCGCCGGAGCCCAGCAGGTCGAGGCTGCGGTGGCCAGGAGCGGCCACTGCACTCCAGTCTGGGCGACAGAAGTGAGACTCCAACTCAAAAAAAAAAAAAATTGTGCCTTTAAAGACTCTGCCAGCCGCCCAACGCTGGTGGGTTGGAAAAGGGTCGGAGTGACATCGCTTCTCCCCGACCTTCCTTTTACAGGCGTATGCAGGCGGGACCCCGGGCGGGACGGGAGTGACCTCCACTCTCCCCCCACCGCCCCAGGGTCCAGGGCTGGCCCTACTGGAGCCCAGGCGCCCGCCGCACGACTACATGCCCATCGCGGTGCTGACCACCATCTGCTGCTTCTGGCCTACGGGCATCATCGCCATCTTCAAGGCAGTGCAGGTAAAGGGAGGCGGGGAAAGGGTGGGGGCGGGGAGTGGTGGGCAATCTGGGGTCATCTGAGGGGAGGCTAAGGCGTTCGTGTGAGGCAGCAGCTCTCTGATCCCCTTCCCCCATCTGTCCTTCGCAGGTGCGCACAGCTTTGGCCCGCGGAGACATGGTGTCGGCCGAGATCGCATCACGAGAGGCCCGAAACTTCTCCTTCATCTCCCTGGCGGTGGGCATCGCGGCCATGGTGCTCTGTACTATCCTCACGGTAGTCATCATCATCGCCGCGCAGCACCACGAGAACTACTGGGATCCCTAAAAACGCCCCAGGTGCGGCCCCATTCTGCGCCACTCGACCTCCCAGGCGCGTTCTGCAATCCTGCCGCGGACGCAGTGGGTGCCCTATACACCCACCTCCGGGGCCGTCAGACTTCGATACATCTTAAACTCCGCCTCCACGGAACCGCTTGCCTTGAAAGCAAGCTCCGAATCCAGTTCCTCAGGACCCCCTCCAAAGCCCACACCCCCAGGGACGCCGCTTTCCGGAATCCCTGCCAATCGTTGGGCCCTCAGTCGCTCCAGGCCCACATTCCCTCAAAGTTCAGCGCCCCCGACCGAGCGCCCTCGATCTGGCCCCCAAAGCCCCGCCTCCTCTATAGGCTCCGCCCCAGCTCTGACAAAACCCCGCCTCCAGGTCGGCAGGCTCCGCCTTCTTTTCTTCGCGGGGTGTTTCAGGCCGGTGGTTGGGTTTTTGGCTCCAGGCCTCTCGCGCGGAAGGACGAACTCTTCCCTTTCTCCCGGCGAGAGGGCCGAGCCCCGGGGTAGCCACGCTCCCACGCTCACTCCTCTTTTTGCAAGTACAGTTTTCTTTCCTCTTCCATCCAGGTCTGCCTATTTTCTTGCTAATTCCAGAACCTCTCTTGTTTTTGCAATGACAGTTGGGAAGTTCCTCGTTTAGGACCCTTTCCCCTGGGATAAGAAACATGTACTGTTCTCTGTAAATACTCCCTTCCACCCATATCCACCCCCGGGCAGCCGGGCAGAAGGGAACCCAGGATATGGACCTCCCAATCCGGGGAGAGAGCCGCCCCGCTCTTCCTGCCCCTCGGTGGTCCTCGCCTTGTTCTGATCTGTGTGTGCGTGTGTGAACTTCCGAAACACAATATTAAAGAAACTTAGTGGATTTATCGCCAGCAATTCCAAGGACTGCGACCCCACGAAGACCCTGCCCTTTAGGTTACCCCTTTGACTTTGCTTCATCTCCTCTCCCAGGGTAAAAAAGAAAACCGACAGAGACTAAAGTGGAAGAGAGAGATTCCTAGATCACCAGAGAGACACACAGATATGAGGAATAGAGGGTAGGGGTGGGGATCCCTGGAAATCCTCAAGGGAAGACCATGAGATCCATTCTCAGTGGAGCCTTTCTTTCCCTAGTGCCCCTTTTCCATTCCCTGTTATGCCAGAACTCCAGGAAGGCAAGAGAAAAGGAAGAAGGCAGACCATGGTGAAGAAATTCGTCAGGGTTAGGGCAACAGGGACAGGGAAAAGATGCCAGCTGCCTATAGCTGTTCCTGACTGTGGACTGGAAGGTGGCAGACAACTTGGATTAGAGCCCCACATGATGTACCAGGAGGGCAAAGAGAGCAGACAGCTGTGGGAGCCCCAGGGAAGAGGTCAATAGCCAGTCAGTTCTCCTTGGGGCTAGTTGCCCTCTCCTACCCTGAGGATAACTAGGACACTTTGTGAGGGCCATGGCACAAGCAGAGAGCTTGGTGTCTTTGGTTTCACACCTGCAGGACAGAGTCCCTGAACTTAGGCATTTATGCCATATGCAGACTCCATGCAGGATAATGGTAAGACATCTGCCCAGACAGCAGGCACGACCCCTGACCTCATAGGGTTTACAGTCTAGAAGGGAAGCCATGTATTGAGGAGGGTGGGGTGAGGCCTGGATATCATGGATTCTCCTTTGGACAATTCAGATTTAATATGCCTACCTCTCCAAACTTGTTGAAAAAATAATTCCTGTTTGCAGCTTCCACTTCCTTACCCCCTAAACACTATTTTGTTTTGTTTTTCTTAAATAGGGGACTAGTGCTATCAGAGATGTGGTTGTGCCTATTTCCCACTATTTCTTTTTTATCATAAAGATGTGGGGGACAATTCAGGGTTAGGTATATAAACATTGATCATGTAGGTACCCTTGTTGACGAGGTATGCCCCTCCCTCCCACTATTTTTTGACACCTTGAAATATATTTCCACTCCCTGCTCTACTGAAACTGCTCTCTCAAATGGCACTCAATGATCAGAGGTTACCCAGAGGCCAAATCAATGGCATTTTTCATGGTACTTTGCCTCTCTGAACCCTCCCATGTTTGTCCCTTGGCCTTGGATTCCCCACAGCCCCAGGTTCAGGGGCATGTTATCCTCTCCTTTCCCCCTTCACACATACCTCTAATTGTCCATCCTCTGCTTTAGCCTCCTTCCCTTTGCTTTTTCTCCTCTCTTCCTGTGTCTATCTCTGGATTTTTTTTCCTTCTTTGAGACTGTCCCTTAAAAAACTCATCCACTCAGTTCAGTCATCATCTCCAACCCTATATTTTACATGCAGACATTTTTTCCAGTGCCTGCAGTATGTAGCCTCATGGTCTACGCTGCTGGTCCTCTAAGCTCAGCATGTTGCAAACCGAACTGTTGAATTGACACCAAAATCCTGCTTCCCTGTCTCCATTAATGGCACTATTTCTCCCAACATCCTTTCTTACCTGGAAACCTGCTGCCTCCTTCCTCTCCTTCCTGCCTTACTGTTGGCCCACTTTCAAGTCCAGTCAGTTCTACCATCATAATATCTTTGGAATCTGTAAACTTTCCCTAACGCTTGCTGGAAAAATTACCTCATCTAGGATTGTTTCAACAGCTTCCCTAACAGGACTCCCTACTTTCTACCTCTCCCTACTCCAAGTCTCCCTCAACACTGTTGCCAGGTTAGCTTTCCTAAATATACTTCTTATGTAACTCCACTGCTCAAAAGCCCTTCAAAATTCCCTACTACTTACTCAATTATTTACAAAATTTCAATCTGAATTTTAACCCCTTCTATAATTAAAAATCATCCAGCTTCTCTGTTCAACCTAATTTTCAACCAAACTGAATTACTCATCATTACCACATCCAAGTATTTTCCCAGCTGTTCCCAAATTCTAGACCTCCTTCCCCAACCTCCGCTGATTATAAACCAAACAGTTGGCAGCTTATCATGAGTTTCATACCATATCTAGGCTTTTGTTCAAGATGTTTCCCCCCACCCTTCACATCTGCCTCTCTACTTAGGCAACTTTTATCTATACCTCAAGGCCTGGATCAGTTGCTGACCTCACTGCGGCAAGATCTTGCTCTATCCTTTGGGTTGGATCAGAGCAGTGAGTGTCTAAGCAGCCCTGGGCATTTCTTGAAGTAATGGTTCTTACCCCTAGCTACATATTAGAATCCTCTTGGGAGCATTTAAGATTCCCAAAGCCCAAGTTGCATCCTAGACCAATTAAATCAGAATCTCTAGGGGTGGGGTTCAGGCATTATTTAAGACATGCCCAGGTGATTCCAAAGGAGAGCCAACGCTGAGAATCATAGACTTAGTGGTACTTCAGGGACCACCCAGGGAGAGGGGAGGGCCAAAAGGTGGCTTTAAGAGAAAAATATCTATCTAAAAGCCACCCATAGTTCACTTTATCTACATTTTTTCTCATCTCTTCCCACCTGATCTCTTGATGTACACACCTGGTTTATCTTTGGTTTTCAGATTTTCATCAAATAAAACTTCTTCTAGCAATCTTTAAAGGAATTAAGTAAAGCAAGAAATCTTGTCACCTTACCTAGACTCCTCACTCAGAAGGAAACAAAATATTTCAGTTTGATTCTCCTCCTACCTTAGCTCAACTTCCTTTGCACATGGTATTCTTGGCTTTTGCACCTGCACTGGCAGACTGTCCTTCAGGAGAATCCATATCTACTTGGATGCTCTGATTCCCCCATGATTAGATTCTGGGTCATCATTCCCCTCACCCATTGAAGAGTCAGCACCCAGATCATTCTCTCTCTTCCTCCACCTCTTTTTTTTCAATGTTCATGCAGATCATCCATAGCCTGGACTTCCTGACGTCCAGTAATCTGTTTCTCCCTGCTTCCCAGCCATTCTTTCCCTGTGGCGTACCTTCAAATTGGTTACCACCCATACCTGTCGCCCCTCCAAAATCTCATCCTCAGTCTTTTCATATCACCGCTCCCACCAAGTGCCCTATTCCAAAAAGTCTTCAGCCCATCTGGGTGTCCCATCAGTTGACTCTATGACTTTTCATAGTTGTTTGATCCCTCAGTTTCTCAGTTTCCTAATTCCCCAATTTAGATTCCAAGTCTTAATAATCACCTCTTCATCCTCACAGTTAATAATCACCTCTTGGCCCCTCTCCCCGGAAACATTTTATCCCTGGTTAAATCCTTGTTCCACACCTGCATTCAACACCTAGGGAGAAACATCTGGTCATACTGACTGGTCTCAATTCCTGTTGGCTCTCAGTGTGGCCTGCCTGCCCACATTTCCTTAGTCAATTGACATTCCACAAGTCTGAGATCACAATTTCACAAGATGACTACCTCTCTTCCCATTTCAGTGAGAAAACAGAAATGTTCAGAAGTGAATTTCTTCATGGTTCCGTCCCAAGTCTTCTAGTCTACCTGCATCTTTTTTTTTTTGTTTTTTGAGCCAGAGTCTCACTTTGTTGCCCAGGCTAGAGTGCAGTAGCATACTCACGGCCACCACAGCCTTGACCTGCTGGGCTCAGGCAATCCTTCCAACTCACAACCATCCAAGTAACTGGAACTACAGGCGCACACTACACAGCGGGTTTATTTTTTGATTTACTATAGAGACAAGGTCTCACCAAATTGCCCAGGCTAATCTGGAACCCCCTGAGCTCAGGCAATCCTCTCACCTTGGTCTCCCAAAGTACTGGGATTACAGGTTTGAGTCACTGCACCCGGCCTCTACCTGCATCTTTACTGCAGAGAAACTGACTTGCTCCCAGCCTCATTTGTGCCCCAGGATCCTGTTCTTTCTCACCTGCTCAGAGACATGACTCATGACATTATCTGCTATTGCTCCCACATAATCGGTTTTCCCTCTCTACTGAAATCTTCCCATTATCATACAAACATGCTATCAAACTATGCCTCCTCTTTAAAAAAATAGAAAAGCACTTTTACTACTCACCAATGTGGTAAAAGCACAATATTCAGAATACTGTTTATCCCTTGGCAGGAAGGGAATCTTATTGGAGAGGGACATGTAGGGAGCTTCAACAGTACTGGGAAGATTTTACTTCTTAAGCTGCCTGATAATTATTCTTTGTAATGTATAAATTATAATTATGTAAGTATAAAATAATTCACATTGAACCGGGCTCGGTGGCTCAGCCTGTAATCCCGCGCCTTGGGAGACTGAGGTGAGTGAATTGCCTGAGCCTGCGGGTTTGAGACCCGCCTGGGCAACTTGGCGAGACCTCATCTCTACAATAAATTACAAAATTTGCCAGGCGTGGTAGCACGCGCCTGTAGTTCCAGCTACTTGGAAGGCTGAGGCAGAAGGATCACCTGAGCCCAGCAGGTCGAGGCAGCGGTGGCCGGGAGCGGCCCACTGCACTCCAGTCTGGGTGACAGAGTGAGACTCCAACTCAAAAATAAAATAAAATAATTCACATTTGGCCAGGCTCAGTGGCTCAGCCTGTAATCCCAGCACTTTGGGAGGCCGAGGTGAGTGGATTGCCTGAGCCTGCAGGTTCGAGACTTGCCTGGGCAACTTGATGAGCCCTCATCGCTACAATAAATCAAAAAAAAAAAATTAGCTGGGCATGGTAGCACGTACCTGTAGTTCCAGCTACTTGGAAGGCTGAGGCGGAAGGACTGCCAGAGCCCAGTAGGCCAAGGCTGCGGTGGCCAGGAGCGGCCACTGCACTCCAGTCTGAGCGACAGAGTGAGACTCCAACTCAAAATAATAATAATAATAATTCACATTTATTTTTAAATTTTTAACCTTTTCCTGACCCAGTTCCCTCCATCAATGCTCCATTTCTCCCTCTACTTTATTTTATTTTACTTTATTTTTGAGTTGGAGTCTCACTCTGTCGCCCAGGCTA